TTATTATAGTATTACTAGCTAATACTATCTAATATATAAGATATAATTAAAGTACTATAGTATAAATAATTATAAATGGATTATGTTAAAGTATATTAAAAGATGTCAAAGAATGTTGAAGAATATTAGAGTACATGAAAGAAAATTGAAAGATGTGAAAAGACGTGAAAAGATGTAAAAAGATATGAGAAGATGTGGAAAGATATGAAAGGATATGAGAGAATATCAAAGGATATCAAAAGACATGAAAAAATATTTGAAATCATTATCCAAGTATAACTATTCTATCAAAATTAAAAATAATCTTTCACTATACTATTCTACTATGTACATAAATATCATATTACAAAATAATAAAAATATAAATTTCAAATATTAAATAAAATATAATATTAAAAAATAGAAATATGATAATAAATATAGTAATAATTAATATAGAAAATAGGGATAATTATAAAATAAATAAAATTATAATAAAATATAATTTTTCATAACTAAGGAAAAATTAAGAAATTAAGGAATTTTATGTCATTATGGTAATATATGATTCTCCTTTAGAAAATTTTTGCTCCTGCAAAAATCAATTAATAATCTTCAATATTTCTTTCTTATTCAAGTGACGCAACTTGATTGGTATAAACTCAAATCTATATTAAAAGCTTCTTCTTTTGAGTTGTAAATGAAGAATACTTTATGAGTGACATTATATGGTCTATCATATATATGTTTTCCAAGAGTATCCTTAATATTTTTTTTAATTTCTGATATTTTTCTTGAATATTTCTGAGATTGAATTGAAAGTATATATTCAAGTTTATAATATTGTAGCATCATTTAATTATTATTATTCAAAGAATTATTGTAAATTGATAATACAGCTTCTTTAAGTTAAGTTGGTCAATCTTTTTTCAGAGTTGGTTTGATATCTTTTATTATAGATATAGATGTTTCAAATTATTTTTCAGAAGTGATTGAACTATTAGAACTTACAAATTCTGATTCTTCTTCAATATCTTCTTATTTAATATTAACTTTGAATTCATCTTCAGATGAAATAACAATAAAAGCATTTAACCAGTCAAAATCTGAGTCAGCAATTATATTAACTGGTTCTATTGGTACTTCAAGAAATTTACTAGTTATCTGAGAATCCAAGAGAAAAGAAGTATCAAGTTTAATATCTTTAGTAAATCCAGATTATATGAGTAAATCCAAGAGCATAATATTAGTTTCTTGTTCTGTATTATTGCAAGTGAGTAATCTATAAATATAATTATTCCAAAGGGTTAATATATAAGTATTTCCTGATAGATCTTTCCAAGAGATTTGATCATTGAAGAGGTAATCCAAGTTGGTAATTGAGATATTATAAAGAATAATAAAGGTAAAAGTAATAAAGAAATTTGAAAAATATAAGATAATAAGAGGAAAAGTAATAGATAAAAATAAAAATATGAATGAATAAAGAAAAAGGAAAGAGGAATAGAGTAAGTATTTATATAAAATTTGAACTAAAAATCTATTATAAGTGATGAGATATTAAAATGTTGGAATAAGAATAATTATAAAAATAGATAAAAATAAGATAGAAAAGAATTTTGAATATAGGAATGACAAAAATTAAAGAGGTAATCCATGTGAGTTACTCAATAATAATTTGTGATTCAAATAGAGCTGCAGATATTTCTCAGATCTAGGATAGCTACCCTTATGGTAAATATCATATCTCTACGTTAATTTGACATATGATATAGCCAGAGATATAAGGCGTAATAGGTGACATTTGCCATATACTGTAACATATATTGTATAATGTACCATATGCCATGTAATGTGACATGACGTGATATAACATAATATTATATGTCAAGCTCATAGAATCCATTTTACATGTAATTTCAATATATAAACAAAATGACCTGGCTATGGAAAAGGTCCAAGGTTGACATGCCAATAATGACTATGAACAATAACTCTAACAGATACTGCATATAGCAAGGGTAGCTGTCCTGTATTATCTTTCTTGATTATTTCTCACATACCCGATCACACGTACTATTTTTTTCTCAATAGATTATGAAGAAGGAATCTCACGCAAATAGAATAGATATTTATTTGAAAAACTAAGACAAGATAATGGTTCAGAAGATTCTTATTATCAGGTGACTACTATTGATATGACTACTATAACTGATATAATTATAGCTGATACAATAACTACTATAACTGACACCACCAATTTTGTGGTAACAAATCAAGACCAAAAAGAAAAAGATAATATAAAGAATAAAACCAAAGATATGGGATTATTTTTTAATGGAAAAGGAAAAAAGTAATAGATATTATGAAGCTATATATAATTATAAGAAAAAATAGGCAAGAGGCAAACCAGCAAAATTAGAAGCATATTTGGCAAATGAATATGCTCCATGTTCTAATACAATATCATGATATTAGTGTAACAAAATTGCTGAACGTAGTCCAAGTTATACATGTAACTCAAAAAATCAAGTTTTACCATCACCATTTTCCCAAACAACAATCAACTCTTATTATATATCCAATCATCCTTTACCAAATGCAATTATTTACCAATTTGATCAAAGAATATTAAAGACATGGATAATGGCTGGAATTTCTTTTAGTATTATTGAAAATCCATTTATTCAAGACATATTCAAAGAATTTCAACCAGGATATTATCCACCATCTAGAACTACTTTATCAGGTTGACTTCTTGATAAAGAGTTGGCATGGATAAATCAAGTAATTGATAATAATTTAGATAAAATGAATTATCTAACTTTAGGTAATAATATTATATTTAAATAAAATTTAATATATATATATATATATTAATAATTTTTTATATTAATAATAAAGCTTTAGATGGTTGGACTACATCAACAATGGAATCGATTTATAATTACATCATTATAACTGATACGTGAAAAGAATATTTTCTTAATCTTTAAGATTATTTGGCACAATCTCATACTGGTAATTTTTTAGCTAACAAAATATCAGATATTATTGAAAAAATTGGAATGGATAAATTTGCTACTATAATAATGGATGCTACTTCAAATTACAATGCAGCACGACATAAAATACAAGATACCTATCCTCATATTTGGAATATCCATTATACTGCTCATGCTATCAATCTAATTGCAGCTGATTTAGTAAAATTAAAGAATCTGAAAAAATTGATTAGCAATTGTGAAAAAATCAACCATTTTTTCAAAACTTCACATGCTGGTCATTCACTAATTACCAAAGGGTTTGCCGATATAAAAATTAAGGGTGGTAGATTAAAGACTTGGGTAAAAACTTGATGGGAATCTTTGTTTATGACAACAGATTCAATACTTCATGCAAGACCTATATTTGATTGGGTAAGTATTAGCTAATAAAATTTATATTAATTATATTAAAATCTTATATTATTATTTAATTATAGATTCTTGCTGAATATTGAGAGATAATTACCAATGAAGATGTTATTAATTTAATAACCAATGAAGATTTTTTCTCAACTTGTTGAATGGTATGCTCAATTTAGAAACCTATCAAAAAAATTATTTATATTTTGAAAGCAAATAATGCAACATTAGCCAATTGTTTTATTTATTTAATAAAATTAGTAGTTGCAATTAATCGCTTACCTAAAGTAAATACTTTCAAGATTCTAGCTATCCATATTTTTAACTACCATTATCAAGAATTTTTGCATCCACTTTATATTCTGACTTATTATATTCATTCACAATATTGTGATAAGCAATTTCTTATATTTAATTAAAATAAATTAATTTCAATAATACTAATTATTTTATTTACTTTAGGAAAAGGATTAAGAGATAATGCTTTTCATAAAGTAGCTCTTATTTCTCTTGAGTTGTGACAAAATTTGGGACATATTCGATCTGAAAGTGAAGAATTAATTGCTCAACTATGTCATTTTGAAGCTCAACTTTCACCCTTTGATCTTCCTTATGTTTCAAATATCGATACACCTAAAATTTGGTAGAACTTAATCAAGACTTAATCTTGACATCTGGCTAAGCTTGCATATAGAATTTTTTTTATCAATCCTACTCAAGCTAGCTATGAAAGAAACTTTTCTGCTCTAAAGTGAATTTTGGGAGAATGAAGAACTAGCTTGGGTTTAAATAACCTAGAAGCAATTGCCAAAATTAGATCATATTATATGACTAATATCTGATACGAGTTGAGTTTTTCTGATCAAGAGTTGACAGATCTTGATCTTTAAGATAGATGTAATGTCACATCAATTGGTAATATCATTAGTTATGATGAAGCAGATTAAATAAGAGTTAGTGAAAGAAGTTTATTAGATAATAATAGTTCTGATTCTTTACTAATTGAGGAGATTGTTGATTTGAGTACAAAATATTTTAGAGAAGGACATTCTGAAACTTTTGTAGCAACACAAATTCAAAATATTCAAAATATTTCTTCTAGTGATTTAGATTATGATCCATCTGATGTATTAAGTAGTTTTTTAGAATGGGAAAGACAGGAGAGAAATAATAATTTGTAAATAAACTTGCAAGTATTGGGGTATATTATAATCAATTCTTAATTTTGATATGCAACACACGTCTTTAATATAACTATAATATATTCACAATATTATATATATTATATATGCTATATACATCACATATATCATATATATCATATACATCACATATATCACATATGTCATATACATCACATACATCACATATGTCACATATGTCATGTATGTCACATACATCACATACATCACATATGTCTCTACATCACACTATCCTATGTCAATATAGCTCAAAGATAGTATAAGCTCTACGTCATAACCATAATATCATAGGTAGTGACTACTCTAAGAAATGTCTGCAGCTTTAGATTCAAAATAATCTTGGTGATCATGATATTATTTAAGTTATCTTCTATTAATAGAATACTTAAGAATATTTCTATTCTGGTCACAAAGTTTGTAAGAGTTATATCCAATATAGTTATGAACATAATATCATTCTTTACTCCAGGTAGATTGAAATTTATCTCCAATTACTGAGTATTATTTCATATTAAATATTAATACTTTGTTTCCAATTTCAAATATTATTTCTTTTTGAATTTTGT